GGACAGGAGCCCATGGAGGGATGGACACTGGGAAGAGGTAACTGTGGGGAGGAGATGGGAGGGGAGCTGTTGCATTGTGGGAAACTGTGGTCAATGTAATGAGACAAAGTGTATATAAAGTGCTGTATGGAAAGTGAATTTGCTCTGTAAACCTTCATCCAAATCACAATAAAATTTAAAAAGAGTTATTCTTTGTCTTTAGTTTTAAGAATTTTAATTATAATGTATCTTATGTAGATTTCTTTGACTTATCTGATTTGAGGCTTTTCTGAGTCTCTTCAATCTATAGATTTCCATCTTTTACAAAATTTAGGAAGTTTTCTCCATTGTATTTTTAGTAGCTCTTCAGTCCCACTCCCTCTCGCTTTCTTCTGGGATTTTGATGAAATAGAAATGTTAGCTCTTTTATTGTTATTCCACAAGTCCTTGAGACTGTTCATTATTTTTCAGTCTATTTTCTCTCTGTAATTTCAGTTGCATAAATTCTACTGATCTGTCCTCAAATTTGCTAGTTCTATCCTCTCATCTGCACTATAATATTGAGCTCATTCAAGTTTTTTAGATTATTGATTTTTTTAGTTCTATAATTTCCATTTGTTTGTTTTATAGCTTTTATCTTTGCTGAGATTTTCTCTTTTTTCATTTGTCTCAAGCATGTTCATTGCTCATTGATGCATTTTTGTGATGGCTATCTTACTCATATATAATTCCAACATCTGATTCATCTTGGGAACTTCCCAGAAGTTATAAGCTTCTTCTGTTATCAATTCCTTTTTGTTCAGATAGCTTCATTTTGCCATTCTTTAAGGGTAGATTTTCTATGCACAGGTACTCTGGATCCTATTTGTTTTGTTTTCATCAAACAATCTCCCTGAGGCAAAGCTGCACAAGGGCCCGCTGTGTGTGTGTGTGTGTGTGTGTGCAGCTTCCTGCTGGGCACCACCGACATAGGCTGGCAATTGTGGAGCGCTTACTCACTTACTGCAGATGGGAGGAATGGGAGTTCAGCACCCTTTTTGGCCATTAATACCTTCCCAGTGAAAGGGGCACCAGCTTGCTGTCTCTTGAGTTAGCTTGAAGTTGGTTCAGTCTCAAAACTAATACGTGAGTGTGAAGGTTTTGCTCCCTACTGGACACGGCTGACCCTATGGATAGAGGGAAGCTAGAACGTTGATTAGCCCCATATCACACCACTTTATTAATCTTGTTGTTGCTGGGTGGGTGGGAAGCACAGCATGCCACTGACGCTACATGACACTACGCTGGTGATTCTGCCAGGTGAAGGATGGAATATTAGATTCCTGCTCAGCCACACTGTCACCACTAGGTAGGCAAGTTTGAGCCCTGCCTATCTTCTTCCCTTGGAGTAAAGGTATGTGAAAGAACTGCAGGGAGCAGTGTGGTGCTTGGCTGGAATAGAGCAAGTTTTCTGTTGTTTGTCACTCAGTGGATTCTGACTCATAATGATGCTATGTAATAGGGTGGAACTATCCCATAGTATTTCCTAGGTTGTAATATTTATGGGAGCAAATCATCAGGTCTTTACTGCAGCAGATTCTCTTATGGATTCAAACTGCTGAGTTTTTCTTAGCAGCCTAGGACTTAATCACTCTGTGCCATCAAGGCCCCTTTCTCTGTTGTTAGGCCACCTTTTCCCAGTCCCTTGGCTATAGAGAGTTAATTTTTACTAAGTTGGAATCCGAATTGATTCTGACTGTATAGTGCAATTATTATTATTACTTTTATTTTATTTATTTATTTGGCTAGGGGTAAGAGATTTTCTTGGAGTCTTTTTTTGTCTGTGCCTATTGGTGGTTTCAGTTTGAGGCTTCTACAGTGCCTTGTCTGGGGTATATGAGAGGCAATAAGGAAATCCCAGGTAACTCACTACTGTGTCATTTCTCAGTTCCTGAGATTCTAGGCAGTCTACTTTCTTCCTTCTATCTTTAAGAGTCTTCCAATGCTTTAACTCAAAATGCACAAACAGCAGAAGAGAAACCAGATGATTGGGACCTTCTAAAAATTAAATTTTTATGTGCTTCCAAAGACATCTCCAAAAGAGTCAAAAGAGAACCTACAGATTGGGGAAAAAATATGTGGTAATTACATATCTGACAAGGGACTTATCTCTAGAATTTATAGAAAACTCCAACACCTCAATAACAAAAAGACAAACAATCCAATTAAAAAATGGGCAGAAGACATGAATGGACACTTCAACAAGGACGATATTCAAGTGGCCAACAAACATATGAAGAAATGCTCATGATTATTAGCTATTAGAGAGATGCAAATCAAAACAACAATGAGATACCATCTTACTCCAGCACTAGTAGCAAAGTTCAATGAGACAGAAAATAACAAATGCTGGCAAGGATGTGGAGAGATTGGGACTCTCATACACTGCTGGTGGTACAACCATTATGGAAAGCAGTATGGCGATTCCATCAAAAGTTGGAATTAGAAATACCATTTGACCCAGCTATTCCATTACTAGGTATATATCCTAAAGAAGTGAGAGCCATGAGAAGAACAGGCATATGCACACCCGTGTTCATCGTGGCACTATTTACAATAGCCAAAAGATGGGAACAACCTAGGTGTCCATCATCTGAGGAATGGATATCCAAACTATGTTACATACACACAATGGAATGCTATGCAATCCTAAAAAATAATACAGAATCTGCAAAACACCACATAACGTGGATGAACCTGGAGGACGTTATGCTGGTGAAATAAGTCAATCACAAAAGGACAAATATGGTATTAGTCCGTTATTGTAATAGTCAAGGAAACATTTATGTATGGAAGACCATTTTCTTTGTCGGTTACCAGGGGTGGGAGGGGAGGGAGGGAATACTGTTAGATAGATAGAGATAAGTTTTGATTTGGGTGAAGAGAAAGGCAATGTACCAAACGTGAGTGATCAAAATAGTGGCATTGAGGAAGAGAAAGACATAGAGAGGTACATGGCAAGTACAAACAAAAAAGATGAACCCTTTTGCGCATATAGTACGGCATGGTCAGTGAAGGCAAACGGGTATATGGGTGGATAGATGGGTGGACAGGCTGAAATATTATATGTATTTCAGGTATGTCTATGAAGTGGGGAGTGCACCTTAGAACATGTATAGGGTTGACAGACAATGGTCCTATAACTTTATGTGTATGATCTGAATTCCCAGGTGTATAATTGAACTGACAAGGGGCAAGGTTGTAGTCACTGTGTGGTCACAGCCAGCTACCTAGAGGGACCAAGTAGCTGAACCTGTGGGCTTGGGATCATAGTCGCAGAGGACATCAAGCTCAATTGGCATAACATACTACACAAAACATTGTTCTACCTCCTACTGTGGCAAGTAGCAACTGGGATCTTAAAAGCTTGCAAGCTGCCATCTAGATGCCACGATGGGTCTCTCCTCATCCAGAGCTAAGAAGAATGAAGAAAACTGAAAATTCAAGGAAACAATTAGTCCTAGTGACTGGTACACCATCCTGTCTGCAACCTATATGACTATGAGACCAGAAGAACTAGATGGTGCCTGGCTACTACTGTCAACCACTTGGAAGAGGATCTTTGTAGGAGATCCTGGATAGACAGGGAGAACAATGTGGAACAAAACTCAAAATCATTTGGAAAAAAAAAAGAGGGGGACCAGTTTGCTGGCCCGATAGAGCCTGGTGGAACCACTGAGACTATGGCCCCTAGCTGTCCTTCAGGTCTGGAATTGAACGCACGCCTGTGGCTTCCAGCCAAACAATAGACAGGCATATGAGTTGAACATTTACTTGAGGTAGTTACACTCTTGGAGACAACAAGCATGGGAGAAAGAAGGGCTGCTTATGCACAGGGAGACAGCTCAGGGTGCAGGAGTGCATGGAGGGATGGACACAGGGAAGAGTAACTATCAGGAGGAAGTAGGAGGGGAGATGTTGCATTGTTGTAAATTGTGGTCAATGTCATGAGACAAAATGTATGTGAACTGCTATATGGAAAGTGTATTTGCTCTGTAAATTTTCACCCAAATCAAAATAAAGAGAAATTTAAAAAAAGAGTCTTCAAATGCTTGCTTGTTGTGTTAGGTCCAGGATTTTTTAGCTATAAGAGGGAGGATCTTGGAGAAATGGGGTTACTCCATCTTGGCCAGAAAATCCTTTATAGCTTTCTATATCAGTTTTGAAAAGTACAACTTAGGCATTGGAAAAGAAATTTTATTCTCAAGAAGTAAAATTACAGTAAATAACCACTAAGAAAACTTTACTACATGATTCAAATTCCTTTTAAATTTTTACAAGTTGTTCAGAGTTGTACTTAAAACCTTCCATTATTGTTTAGTTGTAGTAGTACATATTGATCAGTCTAACAGTTTTTCTTTAAGTATTTTGTTGCAGTATTATTTAATGTATACAAGCTTGTTACTGTGATATCTTTATTGTGACTTACATCTCTTATCAGTATAAAATGACTTTCTGTAATGCTCCCCCCCAGTAAATTTTACACTTTTTAAGTGACATTTTAACTCCTGTATTCTTTGGCCATTGTTTCACTTTCAATCATTTTAGTTTAACTTGTTATGTCTTATGATTGCATTGTGATTTTTGTTTCCACCCAAGAGTTTTAATCTTTTTTAACCGAGAATTTCCTCTGACTTCAACTACTGCTGTGACTGATATGTTCGGTTTTCCTATGCTATCTTGTTTTATTCTAATAGAAATTTGGGCAAGGGGTTTCAGCTCTCATTCTCACACTTTCCCTCCCCTGGACAGAATGTATGATTGAGGAGGAGCTAGTTGTTCATACGTTGCTAATGAATCTGCTTTGACTCCCACCTTTAACCTTATTATCTTGAAGGTAGTTTAGGTTCCCCAAAAAAATGACACAGATTCATTATAAAAGGAGTGAATTCAGTAAATAATTATTCTTATTATCTTGTATCAGTGTGATGGTGGTAAACTTTTACATATCTAATTCTAAATAACTTTTCTTGCAGGTAAAGCTTTAAACTATTCGGACCTAGAACTTATTCATGGACTTTTAAAATATGGATTCAATATCATTATCAGTAGAAGCTTGGGAAAGGAGAGAGATGTGCCAGACACCAGGAATAAAATGTATGTGCTTTCTACTAATTTTGTAAATAAACAGTTACTGGACAGATTTTAATTTTAGCATATTAGAAGTCTCATGAGAGATTCCTGTTTTTAGGATTTGAAATCAGATGATCTCAAGACCCTATTTCAAGACTCTAGGACTTATAGTGTAATGAATATCTTTCATGTTGGCATAGAATGTTTTCTAGAGATTCCAAGCATTGAGCCACCCACCAATGTTTTTCTTAAATAATCAATAAGGACTTTTCACCAGGAATGCTTCAGACACCTACTTCTTTTTCTTCGAAGTCTGCCTTTTTTCATCCTTCCTACACTTGTTTGTGTTAGCGTAGTGCCTAAGGCACTTGAATGCTAACCAGAAGGCTGGCAGTTTAAACCCACCAGCCACTCCTTGGAAGGAAGATGGGGCAATCAACTTCCATAGTGATACTGCCTCAGAAACCCAAGGAGGGGTCGCTATGAGTCGGTAGACTTGATGGCAAATAACAACAACAGCAACAATGTCTTTTTAACATCTTCTGGTGATTTACAGCCAGAGGCTGATATTCTCCCTTAAATAAAGGAGAAGTACTTAAGTTCAGGAAAACAGGCGGCTTCCAGTAATACAAACACAATGGGCAGGTACCAGAGTGCAACACAAACATTCAAAACCACACATATAAGAATAAATAAAGTTTCTAGACAGTTAAATATCACTTAGCTTATGGCTTACCCAAGAGATGTAGTATTTTCACATAATGACACAATCTATCTAACTTATAATAAAAGAAAAATAATTAAAATTTATACAAATCACAAAACATAGTATGAAGTTAGAAGACTTTTTTTTTTTTCCTCAAATGAATATTTAACTTGACCACAAAGGAAAGTCAGTAATTCTGAATGTCTTTCAGTTATGATTTTCTCCTTATGTTGCTACTTCTCCCATCTAAATCTCATTTCTAAAACAGTGTGACTCCCTTTATTTCATTCCCCATCACATGATGAAAAACAAAACAACTTCTCATTATGATTTGGGTGAAATTTTACAAAGCAGATTCATTTTCCATTCAACAGTTCATACACATTTTGTTTTGTGACATTGATTACAACTCCCACAGTGTAACAGCTCTCTCCCACTTCCTTCCTGTTATCTTTTCCCTAGATCCTTCTTTCCTATGCATTCCTGCCTCCTTAGATTTCTCCCTGGACGAATGCTGCCCTTCTGATCTCCCTTGGTTGACTGTTCTAGGTAGTGCATCTCTCTGGTGTAATTGTTCAGTTCATAGGCCTGTCTATTGTTTGGCTGAGAGTTAAGACATGAGAGTGAATTCAATTCCAGGCCTGAAGGGTGAGTACAGGTCATAGTCTCAGGGATTTCATCATTTCTATCTGACCAATAGGAGCTCTGGTAGCATAGTGCCTAAGGCACTTGACGGCTAACCAGAAGGCTGGCAGTTCAAACCCACCAGCCACTCCTCGGAAGGAAGATGGGATAATCTACTTCCGTAATGATACTGCCTCAGAAACCCAAGGAGGGGTCGCTATGAGTCGGGGCCGACTCAACGGCACATAACAACAGCAGCAACATCTGACCAGTAATCCTGGTCTTTTTTGTGTTTTTGAATTTTGTTACACATTTTTCTCCCACTCTATCCAGGATCTCCAATTTTGACCCCTTTTTGAGTGGTTGGCTTATGGTAGCGGGGAACCATCTAATTCTTCTGATCTCAGGGTCATGAACATGATTATTTGTTATGAAAAGCAGAAAATGTAGAGATTTGTCTAAAGAGTGAAGTAAATTGAGCATTTTTAGTGTTCAAAATATTAATTTACCTAATAAGAATTCAATTCTATAAAAAGTAAATTTCAACTGCTAAGAATAGCTAGTTGAAGTCCAAGCAGATTCTAAGCCATTATTGTACATTTTAGTTTCTCTACACATTCTCCAACACTTAGTATGGTTAGTCTTTTAATTTTAGCCATTCTAATAGACATATAGCAGTGTCTCTTTGTGGTTTTAATTTGTATTGTTCTGATAACTAATGATATTAAACATCTTTCCATGATATTTACTTGCCATTTATATATCTTCTTTGTTGACATTCAAATATTATGCACATTTTTAATTGTTTGTTATTATTGAGTTTTGAGAGTTCTTTATATTTTCTCATCCTGAGACCTTTATCAGATATGATTTCCAAATACTTTTCCTAGTCCATGACTTACTTTCATTCTTTAAACAGTGCCTTTTCTGAGCAGAAGATTTTAATTTTGATGAAGTCTTATTTATTAATTTCATTTTTATAATTTTGTATTTTTCGTTTTGTTTTTGCCTAACTGTGGTAGTTTGGTTTGTGTGTCAACTTGGCTGGGCCTGGTTGAGTGGCTAGGCATTTATTCCCCATGATGAGACTGACAATCAACTCCGTGGTGGGATCTACCACAAGCAGCTGAGTAGCTGCCTTTTGGTCTGCTTCTTAAATATAAGGAAAAGCCTTGGGGATAGTCTCTAGCTTATGTCACGCTTGAACCCTTCATGTAGCCGAGTCATTGTTCAGCAGCCGGCCATGCTCTGCAGACCTTGTGACTTTCACTGGACTTAAATTAATGGCCTGCCATGTGGTTTGGTAACATTGTGACTGTGCCATTTTGTCGACCTTGGGCTTGTTAGCCTCAGCAGCCAGTAGCTGCCTGAGTGAAGATAGGCCTCTAGCTTCAGTGGGCTGAAAGCAAGAGGCAAAGTGAAGCCCAAGGTCAAGGGGATTTCACCCAGCCCCTACAGCCTGGCACTTTGAGCTTGGACTTAAAGCCTCCAAACTTAAGAGAATAAACTCCTATTTGTTCAAGCCATCCTGTCTGTGGTATATTCCTGTCAGAGCGGCACTTGTTGTTATGTGCTATCGAGTTGGACACGACTCATAGCAACCCCTTCTTGGGTTTCCAAGGCAGTATCACTACAGAAGTATATTGCCCCATCTTCCTTCCAAGGAGTGGCTGGTAGGTTTGAACTGCCAGCCTTCTGATTAGCAGTCAAGTACCTTAGGCACTATGCTACCAGAGCTCCCAGAGTGGCACTAGGTAACCAGAACACTAACCCAAAATCACAGTTTTCTCTTATGCTTTCTTCTGGAAGTTTTATAGCTCTGCCTCTTCCATTTAAGTGTATGACCCATTTTGAGTTAATCTATGTATGTAGTATGAGGTAAGGCTATAAATGTATCATTTTCTATGTACATATCCTGTTATTCCAGCATCATTTATTGAAAAGACTATCTCTTGAATATTGGATTGCCTTTGCACATTTGTAAAAAAAAAAAATCAGTTTTCCCATATATCTGGAGCCCATTATTTCTGGACTCTCTAATCTGTTTTATTGATTTGTCTATTTTTAGTCCAATACCATACAATCTTGATTACTGTAGCTTTATGATAAGACTGGAAATCACATACTGTTAGTCCTCCAACTTGTTTTAGTCTTTTTAAATTTTCTTTGCATTTCTGTATGAATTTTAGAATCTTCAGTCAATTTTTACAAAAAATCTGCTGTAGTTTCATTGGAACTGCATTAAGTACAATTTGAAGAGAAATGACTTCTTAACAATATTGAGTTTTGGACCCATGAACAAGTGTAAAAATGATGTAGCATCAGACCTCATTTAACTTCAGGAGGAGAAGAGAGAATCAAGATCAGCATCAGCTGAAAGCTGATTTCTAGGAGGTAGGGGTCAGATGATATTTTTACCAATACTTCCCCTCCCATGACACTATTTCTCTGCTGGATTTGATAAGTCATTGCAATCATGCTCATGATTGTGGGTTTATTAGGGAAGTAACCATTTACAATTTAGGATCAGGATCAACTTGGAAGTAACAGGAATGAGTCAAGATACTGTTCTTTGCTCAGGACAGCTTCTTCTTGGCTGTGCCTGGAAGCAGGCCTCTTTTTTGGCCCTTGGCCCTTGCTTTCAGTCCCAGCTCTTGGCCTGGCCTCTGCCCTGCTTAGGCAAGCATTACTCAGCTCTTTAGTTCTGCAGTGAGTGCCCAGAGGCACCCCACTCCTCCAGGAAGCCTCCTGCCTGAAGGTGTTCACCTCTCTCACTTTATGGGTCAATGAGCCTACCTGCCAGATCTGTGCTGCTGTCATCTTGTGCCATCCTGAATGTTACAACTCTTTCTGCTTCTGGGTCTAATAGTGCAAGAACTCTGGGTCCAAAAGACGTACTCTACTCTCAGCTCTTCTTCCTGTTGGTAGTGAGGTTCCCCCGATCTCTAGGATTGTCTCCCTTTAAACCTAAGAGGATGACAAAACTAACCAATCCTCTACAAGGGTTCCATGCACCTTATTTGCATTAGCAAAACTGACCAGTCCCACTGATGGGCCCATGCAAGTTTTTGGCATAGTCTCACGCAATCATTTCATTGGAGTTATAAGACCATGGCTAGAAGGGTCATATTAAAGCAATTCACTACACTGCAATAAGGTATGTCTCTCCTTTTATTTGGGTTTTCCTAAGTATCTCTCAGCAATAGTTTGTAGGCTTCAGTGTACAGGTATTAAAATCTGTTCTAAGATTTATCCCTGAGCATTTTATATGTTTTATGCTATTGTAAGTAGTATTTTTAAAATTTCAACTTCCAATTGTTTGCTGCTAGTGTATAAAAACATAATTGAATGTTCTATATTAATTTTGTATTCTGTGATGAGATCCTAAGCTCAAAAGATCCTAAACTCACTTTTAGTTAGCACTAGTAGCTTTTTTTGTTCTTTTTCACATTTCATTGTATTTTCTATGTAGATGGGCATGTCGTCTGTGAATAAACTTTCACTTTTATTACTTTTTCTTGACTTAGTTCACTGGCTAAAACTTCCAAAAAATGTTAAACAGAAATAGTAAGAGTAGACATCTTTGCTTTGTCCTTATTCTAGGAGAAATTCCCAGTCTTTGACCACTATGTATGATGTTATCCAGAGGTTTTTTCATAGATGTCTTTTATCAGATTGAAGAATTCCTTTCTTT